AAATTATCACTATATTCCAATTTTTTTCCTCTTCTAACCTGTTTCATTTAGAAATTAAACCTGTGTATAGAAGCTTTTTCTCCTAAATCTTAAAAGGTAGAGTAATGAAATGAATGAAGCACTACATTTTAAAATATTTATGCTTCTATAAAATTATTTAATGTAAAATTAAACTCTGGCTGAAGATGTTATTCTATTTTATATGCACTCAAAATCTTATTTTTTAGTATATATCTCTAGTAAGATCCTCAATAAGATAAAATAATTTGAATAAAACTATAGTGGTTTTCATTGTTTGTTCATAAAAAAGAAGATCCTATAATCTAAATTATATTTAAAAAAAATATGGCTAGAGACATTCATATTTTATATTTTGTGTATTTTTATTCCTCATTCTAAGTTTTCATTCCTTATTGAGTATGTTTCTGATTAAATCAAATCTGCACCTATTCTATTTTTGGATAATCTGATGACAAATATCAAGTATTACTTTCAACTACTTGCCCAAAGAGAACTGGAAAATATATTAAGCTCTAACTCTGTAGACACTACTATTTTGACAGAACTGAATAAAACACACAGACATGTTAAAAGGGTAAACTATTAGAATATTAAGATTTTACCAGGAGTAAGATTTCAGATCTGGAATATACATAATTTCCATATGACAAAACCTCCTCTCTTAAATATTATATAAAATCCTAGGTATGACCACAGAACATGTAACACAAACTGAGAGTGGAGGAAAAAAACCAAAATATATTTTATACTACAAAGTGCTATGCGCAAAATATTTTGGGAAATGCCTTTTCTTTTTTTAAAAAAATGAGTGGAAAAAAAATAATAAAAAAAAAAATCAGCTTCCAGTGATGAGGGATCTAATCCAGACAACAAAGAATTCAATGGGGACCTTCCCATTGTTTGGAGTGAGGTTTAAATCTGACGCTGTTTCAGGGGAAGGGGGTTGTGCTGAGAGCACAACCCCTCGGTATCTGTGTGTGTGTGCACGAGTGATGGATGGGGAACGTGTGTGTATATATGGACAGACGGCCAGACATATATAAACACACCTCCTGGCTGGGCACAGGGGTAGCAAGCAGTACAAGTGGGATGATCTGCCTTTCTGGCTCACTTTTGGCAGGGGTTGGCTTTATCACACTACCACAGACAGTTCCATAAATATCGCTGACCAAGTTAATATGCAAGAAAGGAACATATTTCTTACTCGGATCGGAGATGCAATAACCAAATCATAGAACACAAAACCAATAGCCAATCAATGTGAATAAGTCTGCCCATAGGCTTAATTCAAGCAAGCCATTCACTGAGCTATGTGATGGATCTGTCAAATCCAGTACAGCATTACAGACATACCAGCAACACCAAGTGAACATGCAATGACAAAATGACAATACGCCCCACTGCCATGCTTTGACTTTTTCTACCTCGTGAATATAAAACTTGATGACTTGGTTAGTTTCTCTTACTTTAGACTTGGGCAGAATCTAACAACTATTATTTATTTATTTTTTAAAAAAATATATTGAATGAAAGATGAATAAAAGCTGTACAAATATTTTATTGATATCTGATTTAGTGTCTTTTGCACATCCTTACAACTGTTGTTTCCAAACATGCTCAATTTAAAGAGTTTGGCAGGCAAAGCTCCAGAATGATGAAGAATATATACAGATCAGTAGATCCCCTGTTAGCAGTTATACTAGCTGGAAAACTTATCAGAAATATTTTAAATCCTAGCAAGTTAAACATGTTTTGTTTTGTTTTGTTTTTTGTTATCCACTGAAGGAAAGACCTTCAAATCTTTAACTGCAATTTAGTATGATGACAGATCACATGGTATCAAAATTCAAATCTACATGTTTTTGAAGTTGTATTTAGCTATTGCATTGCCTCAAAAATAAAAAAATGGGCCTGTTTCTTTGGTGGTTTTGATCCTTAGAAATGACTGGAGGGATCTGCAAGGTCTATCCTGTTGTGAAATTGGGTTTATGAGAAGATGACCTATCTTAACAAATACTTAGGGGTTTGCATTGATTGGTTCCATGATATTTCCTTGTCACCTGATTCTCCCCTATATATCTGTTCCTTGCCTATTTCCAGCAAACAAGGATACCATTGCATTTCTTCACAATAGAGCCCTTTTACAGTGATCATTATCCATCGACTTGGTGTATTGATTGTGGAGTCCCAAATCTTTCTCTTAACCTTTATTTTTAATTTACCAAAACATGTCTCCAATCTAAAGATTTCCTCTTTCCATCTCCTAACTTAAGAAGCATTTCAAATATGGAACACTGCCATTCATCACATATATGAGTGGTGATCAGAAAAATAAAGCTTTTCTTATTTTTTAAATTAGTATGAAGTAGTATTTCCATGATATGCCACTGCTTCAATAGTGAATACTCACTAGTCCTCAATTAATTTCTCTGGTCATCGTTTTTTTACATAAACAATAAATATAGCTCATGTGTAATAAAATTGAAAAGGGGCTCAAATGAACACTAAATAAGTGTACAAGGAGATATGGAATCTTCAGTGTTGTCAGAGGAGTGCAGGTGATTATTACATTGAGAAGAAAAGATAGAAGCAGTTGTACTGAACCATATTTCAGCACTTTCAATACTCGTAATTTAACAAAAGTTGCTAAATTAAATTCATTTTAAAAGTTAACAAAGAGTTAAGGAAATTAAACAAACTGCAGTTGTGAGTAATCAGAGGTATCCATGTTTGCACATAGTTTCCCACATGCAGAGAAATGTTTGAGCAGATTGTTATTTGTTTTGTTCTCTATGCTAGTTTTGGGATTCTCTCATAAAGAAACTCAGTTACGAGATTTGTAATTAAGACAAGAAACCATATTCATTTGGGGGAAGGAGATCGAAGATGAGGGTTAACCACATTTAAAACGAGAAGCTAAATTAAAAAAAAAAATCCAAAAGATGTAAAATTCATTTCAGATATTGAAAATTATGCAAGCAAAGACAGGTTATTACAATTCTAATTAGACACAAAGTGTATCTGAAAATTAGACCATTTTTTCAAAAAAATAATTAAGGACTGTAACAACTGCATTACTACTGATTCCATCTCAACTTCCTTTACAGTCTTTAGGAGCACTATCTTCCTAAACAAATCCTTTACCTTTTTTGGCAGCAGAACTCTTTGTGATGTTGACTCCCTGCCATAGCAGAACGTGTGACCAACTGATATTTTATCTTCCAGCCTTTGGTTTGTTTTATGAGAAGGTACATTGATTCATAATTAAAGCATTTAAAAGTCATCTTGATATTTGTTCTGTTTCTCTATATAATGTATATATGTTTAATTCATAAAAATAAACACCCTAGAAAGTGATCCAGGGACACCTGAGCTGGCAAAACCTGACTAACCACAGGAGGTTATTTATAATTTTGTCCTTTTGGTTTAGAAAGATTTTTAGAAGGAGGAGTTGTTTGGCATTATAAGCTCACAGAAAAATACTAGAGCTGCAACATGCTAACACACCTTTGTGGAAATGAAATGAGACTATTGAGTAGCACTTCACCTGGGCAGGTTATCCTAAATAGAAACAGTACATTGCAAACAAAGTGCATCCAGCACAAATCTAGTTGATATTACTGACCCGAAATTAATAGAAAGTAGCTTGCTTACCTGTCTGACACAGCATGCCTCAGCCATACATGCAAATTATTTTATTCACATAACTTTAAGAAATATATCTTCATTACCCAGAATAATAAGCACTTGAAAGGCAAATATGCATGCATAGCATTGTAACATTCATACCATGGGACTTCGGTCTAAAAATACAGAATCCATGAACAGCACTTCAATCTAAGAAACGGTGCGCTAAAATTTCTTAATCTCTTGATTTCTTTAGGAAGCAGAAACATTTATAGCATTGTCTAATTTAGCATCTAAAGAAATTTTTCAGCACGTATTCAAGACTTGAGAAATTATTTCCGTGATTCCAACGGGAAATTTTCTTATATCAGGTATTGAGAAGTGTGACCTTACTTCTTGTTGCTATCATGAAGCAAACTACATGTGTGTTTCTGTCTGTCATGATATATATCCTCCCTTTACAACTGTACACTCTCCAAGTACTTGAAAATCATTAGAGATAGAATGGATTTTAAAGGTACAGTTTCTGAAGAAAACATGGGATATTCTTCCTTCTCATTACAGAAATCATGCCCACACACTGCAGAGACCTAATTTTATGTAATTTGACAAAATCCTATTCCTACTGAAGTCAACAGCAATTTAGACATTGACTTCCAAGGGTTCCCAATTTTCATCTTTCAAGAAGACACACTAATATGTGTGACATGACATTGCTCTTACTTGTCAGAAGTTAAGCCTTTGCATGTGCAGATTTTAATAATCTTTCTTTCCTGATCTTATTTCCACTAAATGTGGTTTACATTTTGAGGATAAAAAAAACAGAGCAAAAGAAGAATAAATATTTATTTTTTTTTCAGTATTGAAAAAAAAATCAAATGCCTGGAAGGAAAGCAAATGGAAAAAATACTGTTTTGCATTGGGTAGTTCAAGCTTAGACACAGTTCATTCTCAATTTCCACTGACTAAAACAATGTCAATGAGAATTGAGGGCACTCAATAGGTTCAAGGTTCTAAATCAACTGAAATAATACTCCTAAGACAAATAATGATCTTTAGTAGCAGACCATCGTGAATCTGTACATATATTTATCTACACTGTACAAGGGTCACAGATGTTAACTGGATGATCTACAGCTTGGCAATGTGCACATCTCATGCCTGATTCTCAATTAAGGCCTAAAATCTCTCAATTTGTGGCTATTCATGGATTATAATAAAACAGCCTGCTTTAGATATCACAATTATCTGCAGAGCAACAAGACAGTTATGAGACTTCAACAAGGCAAATTTATAGAGTCATCTTCAACTTCCACTGGTCAAATACTGATGAGCAGGAAACGAGGTCTTACCTGTCACTGTAGGCAGCTGCAGTGGCAGTGGCAGGCTGGGCATACCGGTAGGCAGCATAACCACCCTGAAACACAAACTCACGCTCTAACTGGGTTGCTACAGCACCTTAAATAACATTTTGCAAAATTTAACAACAGCTGAAAGAGTACTGTCGTGCTGCAATTCAGCTGAGGGGTTAAAATGCACAGGATATAATTCAGGGGAATGTTAAGGAAATATTTCACTGAATCATTAAGCAAAATTTATCACCACAAACTTTTTAAGCTCTGTCCCTGAGATCAGGAGAAAGCAATGAACTCTAATGATGAACATAAGGGTGTTTTTACAAAGCAATACTGTATTCTCCAAGTTTTCAAGTAGTAATTGTTCTTACAAATGAGATGTATGTATATTCATACAGCAAGGCTGAACTTAAAAGACAAACTCAGCTAATAATCAATTCTTTTTTAGTACAAAATATGATTTATCATGCCTGGTTGATTAAACCTATGAATTTGTGCACTCAATTAACACTTAATGTTACATAGGTTTCCAATTTATACATAAAATTATAATGAAGAAGCAAAATTCTCTTCTTCCATGAATTAACATTCAGTTGTATGTAACAGTAATTCCAGCTGTTCAATTAAGCAAACAGGACAAACAAACACACATTGGAAAGGAATTGTGTGCAGTGATGCATTGATTATCAAACTGTGAAAACAGCAGAGCTTCCTGTTCAATGGACCACGGTGTTATATCAACCATTTCAAAATGATCTCAGCATGCCAATTAACAGGCACAGCCCAGCTCTGCAGATAACACAAACACGATTTACGTCCCAATTAGAATTCTCCCCCTATCGCCCTCTGGGACAGGGGGCTGTTGTGGTGCCTTCCCCACCTACCCCCACCTAACAAAGAGCTGAATAGGACAGTATCAGCTCACTCAGCTTTCAATAAAATTCACTTTTTTGCTGAAGTGTTCTCTTTAATAGATTGATTTTTTTTCCTTTTTTTTTTTGGAAGGCTGCATTCACCCAAGATATTCTGCTGAAGCATGAAGAATAGGCCACGATGTGTCAGCCTTTACTGTAACAGTAGTACATTGTTACTACAGCAACTTCTGTGGGTTTTCTATTTGGATTTTACAAACAAAAATTCACTCTTTTCAGAAAAGCAATTTCAACTACTTTTACAAGCTATTTCCCCTTCCACCACTGCGCTTGGCAGAATCGCTTTCATCCCTAACATGTGTAAACCTTTGTGGCTTTGAAGATTTGAAGCAGGTTGGGTTTGGAAATCAATCGTTCAGCTGATAATGCCACATCACCCTGAGAATAAACGTAAGTTTTACATACACTGACAGCTCATTAGAAACTCCAGGCTTTGAATTGTCAGCTCACTTGAGGAACATTCTTTCTGATTTTTTTCAAGAGCTCACACAGAGAACAGGACATTTCCCTCCCTGCTCCCGGTCAGCTCCCTGCCAGCAGCAATTGTGTCACACAAGCTCTGGAATCAGGCAGGAATAAGGATTTCATAATACCCTACGTGCTCCCTCCTTTGCAGGGAGCTGCTCCTCTGAGCACACAGGGAGGCAGCGAGACAAAATGCTTTCTCATTTCAGATCATTTGATTTTTATAAACCAATAGAAGGCTATTACTGCCAAAAAATGTATAATAGGCACATATTGCTTGCAGGTATGTGCATACAGGATGTCAAATAATGTCACCAAGAGCAAACTGAGGCAATAAACAGCGAGGCTGAGAGGAGACAATGCAGGCTGCACACTGGTCTGCCTCTGCCACAGGGAGAAAGGTGAGAGATGATACAAATTTATCTGTTCTCTCCTGGTTTTTGAGTGCTAAACATAGTATTTCCCCCCTTTTTCCTTTTTTCCCCCTGAATGCTGATATGAGGGAGCACGAATGCTAAAAGCATGAGGAAGATATTAAACTTGTTTTTATGATCCAGTCCCGACAATGTGCAACAGACCGCAAATCAATCTTCAGTATGACATGATTTTATTCACCACGTGTGGGACTCCCTCACTTGTCCTGCTGTCCATTCCTAAAACCCCTGACTTGTAAGTGAGAGCCTCTCCATGTCAATCTAACTATGCACATCACGGTTCCCACTGTGAGAGGGAACTGAGAACAGGCCACCACGAGCAGCTCTGAATCGGGCCAAAATTAGACAGGCTCTTCACAGATCAGCTGCTCTGAAATCTGCAGCTGGTGGGCTCCGTGAGGATTGGTTTTCTTTATTTAACTATCCCCCAAAAGTGGTCAGTCTGTGATGACAGACCCTTTTTTTGCTGCCTAAACAGACGTGCTATGTCCCTTTTATGCTTGCATTTTGATTTGTTTTCATCAAAGAATTTCTGCTGAACAATGAAGCTCGACTCTGAACTTTATTAAGATGTTTTGGATTCAATCGTTTGACATTTGTGAGAGCCCTGGAAAGAATGAGCATAAAGCAATACAAATAAAAAGAGATTGAAGGTATTGAATTTGGCTGAATTCTCTGGAGAACTAAAATACAGCATGAATTTGGGTGCCAAGGAAAATATAATCCCCTACTATCCCATGTTATGAACTTATAATGTTAAAATGAACTGTCATAAATTGCACATTAAAACCTGCTTAAGGAAATTATTTTTATGGGGCTTGTTTTCTGCAGTTTTGGTGTCATACTAAGTTTTCTTATTGTTTTACTTCAATTACTTCAGACAATTGTTCACTGCAGGAACAAAATACTTGAAGGTACACTTTGCACTGGGAACTGGGATGGGAATCTGCTTTAAACCCCTGAACTCAACTTCTGAGACAGGTTCTACTTCACATTTTTTCTTGAATTTTGAACTTAGCTGGTATCTTAGATGAAGAATACACCAGTAATCTTCACTACATACATATCTCTTGAGTAACATTAAATATTTATCTTCATGCCTTAGACTATATTGCAAAATAAAATATTTACAACAAAATTATGTAATAATTACATAATAATAAACAACAATTTTTTCTTCCTATGTATTAGAAATGTTTTAGGAATTTTTTTTCTCCCTCAGTATGCACATTAATACTGAAAGTATCTGACTGTTATGCTTTGAATTATTATTTTGAAAATTCAGCTGAAATAACAAATTCAGACAATATAATGAAAAAGTGTCTGCTGTCTGATCTGTGCTCCCATATTTGCTACTTCCAAAACAATGATAAAACAGCATTACAACAGCTTAAGCAGTTTTAAAAATTAAGAACAGTGTCACTACACTACACAAATCACTATCTGTGAATTCGTGCTTGAATTTGGAAAACAAAATGCAACTGGTGGGTTATTTTTGTAATTTATACACACAGAATCCATTTCCTCACGTAATTATTTGAGTATTAGTATGATTTTACAGAAGTCTACATTCAGCACAAGTAGGCTCTTTCATCAGCCACTGTGTCACCCCTGCGGTAACTCATTGCCATATACAGGCCCTTGCAATAATGCTCTACAAAGAAACAGAAATGGGATGATTCGAATGAGGAAGGGAAGAACGATGGAAAGAAAGATGCAAGGAAGGAATTTGGGCAAATTCCCCAGAGCAACTCCTTATTATTTTCCTCTCCATGTTTTATATATCTCTGTGGCTCGGGCAAACAAAAAAGGAGCAGTGGGATCCATCAAAGAGCAGGAGCCAATTGTTAGAGAGAAATCTTAATCCATTTTAGAAAGAAATCACCCACATTTGAGGTAGGATTTGATAAAATGGAAATGAACAGAAAATTAAATGCAACTGAATTTTTAAATAACGTCTGTGTATCTGCAGTAAGAGTAATGTTCACAGAAACAACTTTTACAGACATCTATAGGTAACAAAACCTTGTACACATGTGTGCACCTCCTCCTAAAACAACTAAATTTTTTTTTTGTGATCTTAGATGTACTTAATGTTGATTGCATATATTCAAACTGACTCAAAATTATTAATATCATTAATTTATTATCATTAATGATTGTTTTTTCCTGTTACAAACATGTTTAAAATTTTATATGAATCTTGAGAATTAATTTTCCTCAGTTTTTATTTCCTGTACTTCCTTTCACTCAAGAATCTCAAAGCATTTTGTGAACATCAATTAATCAAGGTTCCAAACCTTCTCTAGTATTGAAAATTATACGTGCCTTATTAGCAACAAACAGAGGAATGGTATTAAAAATGACATGAATTATACCCAGCGCTGCAGAATATAGAAGTTGTCATTTCCTTTTCTTTCACTCATATAGTGCTAAGGTTTAAATATTTCTTCTGCTCATGGAATAAAACTTTGGAAGAATTCAAAAGAAACAATCCACCAGCTCTTTGTGCTGGCTCAAATTTTGGAGCAGGGCTGTGGGAAACGTTTGTGGTATTTCTATATCGTGTTCCCAGAGGTATTTGCTGCCTCAGAGAAGCTCTTGGTAATGTATCCAAACAGACACCACCTGCATTAATTCCAAACACATACAATCACCAGCACTGGTCTGGTATTTTTTTTTAATGTACTGTTTATATCACAAATAAAGATGAGAGATGAAAAGACATTTCATCGCTAGATACCCAAACTTTTTAAAAGGTATCAAGGAGTGTTCCAGCACGTAGAGAACTGGAAGGAACAACTCACTGCTCCCTGAAGACTCTTTTGCCCTTGGAAAAGTCATTCCTCCACTTCTCAGTTCTGTTTCTCTGAGTCACAGGAAATGGCACATCCTTCCATTTGCAAAACACAACTAATCTTTGGTACTTGAAAGAAAAACTTCAGTGCTATCTGCAGATCCTCGCTTTTTACATCAGAACAGGACCTTCCAGGGAACCTGATGGCATCCATAGACTTCTACCTGGGGCCATGGGAACGTTCCTCAGACAATTATATCTGCTTTTCCCTTGGGAATCAAGTGATCCACCGTCAATACCATCCTAGTTTTGAGCTAAAGGTGGTGACAGTATCTATTGGTAGTCTTGTTCCATACCCCTGATTACAAAACTGTCTTATTTTTGCTCAGCAGCTCACAAAAAAAAAAAAAAACAAAGAAAAAAAAATCTTAAACCTCTGTATGCATATTTTGTCATGGACTTTTGTCAGCTGCAGTATCACAGGTCCAGAATCCTGAGAGTAGGTTGGAAAATCTCGCTGTGAACAGTGAGACTGACCAAGGGACACGGTTAAACTGCATCACCACCCAGGGACTCCTGCAGCTGGTGATGACAACGCTTGGAAGGTTCTCTTGTTTCTGAGCCTTCCCACATTTTAGGTGTAGATTGAAGACTGACATGTTCTGGAAACATTCTCTATGACAATGGTAAAAAAAAACCAAACCCACACAGATTTAAGATAAAGCAGAGCAAAAGTGCAGAGCTATTATTCTAACTGAATATTTCTGAGTCTGTTACTATTTTTGCTTGATTTTGTGGAGCATATTTTCTTATTTTCACAGGTGCCAATCTTCATCTAAGAACTTCTATATTTGCTGGCAGGCAACTTTAATTCTCTTTTAATGACTTTTTCTCTTAGTGAATCAATACTTAATTTTAAAAGGTCTTCCTTACTTCCTAATAACCTCCTTTATTTTTCCTACTCAAAGGCACATTTAAAAAAGGAATTCAATAGTTCAGCTATTTCAGAAGCATTATTACATTCCATATAGAATTATATGAAATATAGAATATATTATATTACATCTAGAATCATGGCTGTTGATTTTTCACTTTAGACTGTACTTTCCACATATTTTTATATTCTTATTCTCTTCTGTTCCACTGGTTAGTATTAAGCAATTCTGGACATTTGCTGTTCTTGTTCACCATCCAGTTTTTACCCAACCAGTATTTTTTTGTGTCTTCCTTCCTTCCTTTCCCCTAAACTGAGCCACCAAAGGCTATGCTGATAGCTAGTTATGCAATAATGCTGTTGGTACTCAATGTAATCAGAGCAGGATGAAACCCACTTTGATATACTCATTAATGCATATTTTTGATCTGACTTTTCAGTACTGTGTGTCTTCTGTTTTGCTTTCTATAGTATTTTTAAGGTTCTTTTCTCCTCAATCTACTGTTAAACCCTATATTGTTTAAACGTTTTTTTATTCACAGAGCATTTGTCCTTTCACAAAGCTTCAGCTTTGCACTTAAAATGAAAAGCTGAGTAGAACTGTGTCATAAACAACTGGGATTTAATAAATAACTCAGTCTTCTGCAAACTACTACTCTAAGAACTAATACTCTGTGAATTGTAAGGTTTCACTTGGTTTATGCTAATTCTTTCTATCTCTCTCTCCCTCCCCTGCAAATGTTTTATATGCAAGAAAGCAAAAACATGAAGAAAAATTCATTATGAAATAAGAAGGTTTGTATACTATAAAATTTTGTTCAGAATTCTCCAGAAGAGTGTTTTAATTCTGTCAAATGCTGTAAAGGTAAACATTCTGTTGCATTAAGCAAACTGAGATATGCCATCAGAAATATGAGGCTGCAACTGAGTGAAAACCAATGCATAGTTATGCATTTTCTAATACAGAATATATAATAAACCAGCATATTTATTCTATTTTCTAATGCACATGACTATTGCAGACAACAAAACTGAGGCTACACTAGAAATTAGTAATTTCTGTGGTATCTTCCTCATCGGAATCACTTTCCATTTGGAAACAAAATGTTACAGTCTGTGAGAGGGTGTGAGGCCACCTAAAAATAATATTGTCAGTCACCAAAGAGATATTCCTGGCTTTCAGCAGCAGTGGGTTCCAAACCTACAAACTGTTCCACTAACATTTAGTTCCCACCTATTCTATCACACTGAGCCATCCTGAGAAAGATGCCTGGTTGCCCTTCAGATTTTTGGGTGGGTAAACTGAGCAAAGTGGATGTCACATTCTTCTGACAGTTTGAAGGAACATGAAAATTGGAAACCACACTTGAGGAAGTTCCACACTGCATCATGTATCCCATAGATCTCAAAAACTGAGCAGCAATGTGCTTAGGTGAGATTAGAGCAGCACACTCCACTTGAGCAAGGGCTTTGGCCAAGGGGTGGTTCCTGTGTTGTAAACACCATGTGACTGGTAACATCACTAAGCAGGTAGGGAGATAATTTTAACTCTTGCTAACTTATTTTAAGTGTGGTTTTAATCTGCACAAATGAATTTTCAGACAAGTATCAGCCTTTCTACCTCCATCAGAAAAGCAAAACCTACTTCACACATAAATTCAAATTGTTGTCCTTCTTTATATAAAACTTACTAAAAAAATACCCAGTCCCCTGGAAATAGTTCTAGAAGACTGCTGATAATGAGCATAAGGGATGTTTTCTAGCATTACCTGTTTAATTTTTAATATATGTATGAATTTCAACTCATCTGTCTTGTCGTATCTCAACAGAGACAGTACAAGTTGGTTACAGCAAGTTGTCTGGTGAAACAAAATGATACCTGTAACTTAGGGCCAGATTGCTTTTCTAATATAAATAACAAATGTTAATAATTTGTTATTATTCATATAATAACAAATGTAAAAGATTAATTAGTCTCAGTAAAACATTTTACATCTACACATAAAGTATAAGAATGAATTATTTTAGAAGAATGAAATTCAGCCTCAACGTCTTGCACACTCAGACCTAAGCAGTCTCTTTGTACACATTCAAGGTAAAAACTTGGTAAGAAGAAACAAGGGAAGAAACTTGAAAAACTTGATAAAAACCTTGCAAAAACGTTATTTAAAAAAAGGAATTGGAGAACAATTAGGTCAGTAGATAATGATGGATTCGTGGCTATAAATCCTTCCTAATAAATAATCCACTTATAAGCAGTCTCTACCCCTTTTCTTTAAACTAAGTGGATTTTCAAAGTGCATCTGGAAGCCTACTCAGATTACAGACAATACACAGACATATCTTAAACTTACTGTGTCATTAAGCTCTACTATCTCCCCTACACCTACACATACCCAATGTCGGTTGGATTTGGGAAACTTATATCTCTCCAAGAAGTATTTTCATAGTTCAAGTGTTAATAATATAAAGTTTGCCTTGATTTTTTTTTTTTTTTAAAGAAAGAGCTTTTGGGGATTTGCAAAAGAATGCTTCTGCTTTGCTTTATTTTTTCTTTGAACTTAAATTATGAAGGGAGACACCCCTCCACATACACACACACACATTTTTCACATCTTTTTGCATTCATTCAGCATTTGATTGAAGAGTTAATTCAGCTCCACTGAACAATGATAGATGTAATGAACAGAAAGGTCTTCCAATGTGAGAGATATTCTTCTCAATTCTTTCTGACAGGCAAGGGATGGTAAATAGACAAAACAGAGTCAAGCTAGGCAGCAAACTTGTAAAAAGAATGACTCTGGTAATGTACAAGGACAGCATGCACATCAATGAATACTTACATAAATGTCTGCACCATAAAATCCATCCTGGTATACAACACTGCAAGGATGCACACACAAAGAAAAACATCCATATTAGTGCATTTCCACATGCAAATGCCACCAACCCCTGCACAGCTGAGGTTAGTCTTGTCACAAAAAACAGAGGTAAGGGGGAAGGAAGGCACTCTTCACATTGGTTAAGGAGGTTGGTGGTAATTATCAGAAGTGAAACTGTTCCAAATACATCCTCTTATAGAGTATGCCAAATGCTTAGTCAAAGGGAGACAAAGCATGGCAGGATTGGAAAAGTCTTGATAAGGTTGGGGGACTTTTTCTTTTTATTCTTTTTTTTTTTTTTTTAATAAACCACATACTGGCACTGTTTTTTCTATAAATTTTTTTCAGTGGGCCAATCCTACAATCAGTCTCAATACATTAACAAAAAGCTAACTCTTGAAGTGCTACTTTCTTGCCCTGCAAGTATGCAGACCCTCTGAAATAAAGAGGTAATTATCATTACTTAGATGGAAAACAAGACACAGCCTAAGTTTCTTTGGTGAGAGGAGTGGGTGAAATAATTATGGTGTTGGTATTCTTCCCACTGGGACAAATCTCAATATCTCAATGCACACAGAGGTGAGAGAATCCATAGCTACTGCATTGTTGGCTTGATGCACATTTCCCATTGTGACAACAGGTCTGTTGAGAATGTCATGGTGTTATGTAAAAAAAAAAAAAAAAACCACAAAAAAGAACTTTCCTTACTTGCTCATTTCACAGCTTCAGTGAACATGCCAATGGTTCTGAGCTCCCCTGCAGTTTTGGTTGGATACACTACTACTTCCTACCTCAAAAAAATGTGGTATTGTTACATTGCTGTTAACTGTTCACCCAGAGACTGTGGTATTTCAGCTAAGATAAATCATCAGTGCAAATACTGCAAATTTCAGATTCTAAACCCTTCAGGATAAATGACACAGTATGACAAAGACAGTTTAAATGATTACACTAAATAAAACTGGAACTACACAACAGTGGCCTACCAATTACACATATTATGTAATTCCTGCAATTTTACATTCATTTGGCAGTTCTGCAACTTAAAATGGGTATTTCCACTATCAGAATCAACCCAAGCTGTTTCAAGAGCTAAATATGAGAGCACACAACATGTTTTTTGGTTTTTTTTGTTTTTTTCTTTTGCAACAGTATTTTCAATTTGGGAATACTATTATCTAGGAATAATTGTTAATACCAAGTTGCTAATCTGAGCTGTTTTGCAATTCCAACAAGAATTTTCATGTCAGAAATATAAGTGATCTGTTGAGGTCAATGACCAAAACCCACAGGGCTGAGCTGATATGTGCCTAAGTCAGAATCACTTGAGAAAATCATAAATATGCAGACATGCACACAAGCCACATGGATAAAACCACACTGATGATAGAAGTTTGCTGTGGAATAATAATGTGTGAAAACTCAGCTCCACTTAAATCAGAGTGTCTGCCATTTGTTTCCATAAGGTCAGACCTTTACTCGTGTATTTTTCTATTTATTATGTCTGCAGAACAAAATATGCAAAACCTGGTCTACACTGGCAGTTTTCAAAGACCCTGTTGTTTACATTGCACTACACCTTCATTTTGGTTTGATATTCTGATTATTTTGAAACATCCCATGTTTTTCTTATACCTGTTTGTATGCAAGAAATAAAACTTTCCACACATCTGTGAGGTAGAAGCACACAATCATGAACAACATGGAAGGACTTTTATGAGATGATATTCAAATTATATTAAGTTTACTGAAGACAACCACAACCTTCAATTCCTCATATCCCTGTGCCATATCTCCTGCTGGGAGACACTGGAGGAGTTGGGGGAAGGTAGTTTAGGTTCTGTCTCTGTTTCTACCCATCCAACTGCACTTCAAAAGGCAATAAATTATATTCATTTTTCTAGTCTGTTTTACCCATGATGGGAATTGGTGAGCCATGTCCCTGCCTTTACCTTCAACCCAAGAGCTTTTCCACTTGAGTTCCTCTCTCTGTTTTCTGGAAAGGCACAGCTGGGTGAGGGTCTGGCAGCCAGCCAAGGTCAACCTACCACAGTACATCAAAACATGCTTCTCTCAAGTACTGTTAAACATTGATACTCAGAAACTAATGCATAATGAGAGACTATGTGTCAGAAAGGGGATGTTTTTTTCTTCCTCCTCTTGGTGATCTGGGGATATACAGGGAAGATGAAGAGGGGCTGATAAATTTTTCATTACTAAGTTCAGCAGGCTGTAATCCTGGACAGGTTCCTTCATCCACCTCAGTCTTCCTTTTGCATTTAACTCTCAGTCATGCACAGATAGAAACTTATTTTGACCTCTAAATATCCAATCACTTGATAAATACTATGCCGAAAAAATGTACCCATCACTAAAATGAGACATATATGTGTAATTCCATCATTAACCATGGCCAATATTAAGATGAAGTGATGGAATCAGGCAACTGAGTATAACAGTCCCCAAACAGGACCTGCACTACAAAAAATTATCAGCTGCTTTTATCTTATTTCCTCCCTTTGGTCTTGTATTATGATAGCGATGTTAAATAAAACCTCATCTGCTTCTCCTGAAGTTTGAAGAAAAGTAACTCTTCACACTTTCACAAATTTTTTTTAGAGAATATTTCCTCTATTCACTGTCCTTGCCATTCATTGACTCCTATGACTGAATCTTGCCAGTGGAGTCAAATGTGTTTTCTAACAGCACCCTTCACCTGAAGGACAAAGTGTAAAATACCAAGAACTACGTTTTGCTCCCATGCTTTTCTTTCCTTCAGTATATATTTTTCCAAAGGGTAATTTCCTTGGCTTATCTCCCCTTTTTCTCTCGCTGAGGCTGTAGACAGAAAACAGATGATACATCTTAAGCATGGGAAGAGACTGAAGGCATCACACAGGGACCCATCTTGCCACAGCTCCTTTTACACTTTCTATTAAAAAGCATTGTCTTTACAGACAAATAAATCATGCTCCTGGTAAACCAACACAGAGTCTTCAAATAGCCATATTACTGAAATCTGAATTACTTCACCCAGGAATAGATGATATGTTAATGTGCTACCTGGGGACATGAAAAAAGAACAACAAATTCAGGGCATCTATTCTGTTCTTTTAATAATTTTATTGTGCTAAGGAAAACTCAGAGAATTGAGAAGTCTTGATTTACTAAGAAAATTGCATCTCAATAACATCATATGTGGCAATAATTTCCTGAAATAATTTTTCTATAAATATGAAACTCTTTCCTCACCAGGTATTATACATCCGACTTTCATGGGTTTACCTCCTTTATTTAAGTCTCTGTCTTATAATCATTTTTTGTGACTATATTAAGATAAACTCGTTACTAGTTTAGATTCCACCTTTATAATATCCTGGGAGGACTACATCTGTCTTCATTATAATTTTCTATCCTCATCTTTCAAAAGGATTGAGTTGAATAATCTATCAATGACATAAAAAGACAGTTCTTGACTGCACAAACCTTAGCTGAGTAACTTTATGGCAGCTCAGTATTTGTGGCCCTCAGCCACACATACATCCTCTACAGGGTAAGATAGACAACCTAAGGCACATTTAGAGCATGGAGTGATGGATTCAGGGCAACAAATGGGCATTACAACCATGATTTCATTCCTTGCAATAGGAATCATGTCTACAGCTCACCATCACCTCTCCATCACAACTAAAAGAAAGCAGCTGGGGAACAGAAGTTCTGGTTTTTAATTGCTGTGAGGGTCACCTTCACTGTCCTACACATTATCCAGCTCCTGCTCTGGAAGTCACCTTTTACATGAAACCATTCATATGAAGCCTTCATGAAACAAATGATAGAAGAGATGCAACTGCAGCCTTATTTAAACCAAACACTGGTAATTAAAGTAGCACCTTTCAACACTGTAATGACACCATTTTCATTGTTGTAAACAGAAAACTGAAGCTCTTGTATGAGGCAGTTTCAACTTTTTAGAATGTTCTCTAATTCCAGGTTCTTGTATTTCCAGTTTGAACATTTTCTGCCATGAACAAGTTACATTATCTGCTTTGGGAAATTAACTGAGGGCATTGCTGCAGAGAACAAAGCCGGCAGACATAAATCACTGTGCACTGGTAAAAAACATTTTTTGTTCTAACAATTGCACAAATACACAAAATACAGAGTCCAAAGTAAGAGGAAGTTTCTGTGAGTCTAAAGAAATATATTGGGAAACAAACATAACTACCAGAGGAGATGTAGTACTAATCATCCTTCTTTCTTAAATTCAGAACAAGTGCTGGAAAATAAAGCTGATTTTTCTTTCATTTTGAATCAGTTAGACTGTAGCACTTGAAAACATTTATTTTAACAAGGGGAACAGTTTCTGAATAGTCTCTGTTACTTCTCCTATCTCCTGTTTTCCCAGTAGAGACACCAGAAGTGGAGATATGGACTGAAGGCTCAGTCAGCTTCAGCAGAACTGAAAGGAGCACAGGGGAAATGGAACACAAAGTCATCACACACTAAACTTGAGAAGAACTTGAAGCAAATAGTGCTGGAACACAAGTTTTACTAATACCTCTATCTGCTACACTACAAGATATACAGCGGTTCTGGGTTTTCTTGATGGCAAATTAAAGGTGGAGTTTCAAATTCATCTTGTTGAATATGAAACAATTCATCACTGTTTGGGGAGCGAATTTCAAGGATGCTGACATTCTTGTTGCTACAGAGGTCAAAATGAATTACAGGTATCAAAATCAGTTAGCCTGCTTTCAATAGTTGGCCAAAGAGGAAAAAAAAAAAAAAATCCAAAATCTGCCATAGGAGTACCTTTCCTAGCCAAGACAACATTCTCCTGTAAGGACAGGCTCCCACTGCTGTTCTCCACTCATGTCATCCATAACGGGACCATCCCTTGTTTCCCCTCTCCTGCAGTGTCAAGGCTGAGCTCCCCATGCATCCTCCACACTCTAAACTTCAGTATTCTCAGTATTCTCATACAAACAAAGCTTTACTCCCTCATTTCATTGTCAGTGAGGTTTGATGGTACATAAATGAATTATACATTCGCAGTGATGAGTAAACTGCACATTCTAGCGTGTCAAGGCATTAGAGAAGATGCCACAGGTGCTGAAATGGAAGTGTTTTCCATGAGCTAATAAACAAGATGCTATCTCAAGCAATTAGTGAAATGCCTCACTCGTTAGTAAAGGACCCATTAATTATTTAGGTAGTGTTATGCATCTCATGAGCAGTAATTTCATTTTTAAATGACACATTTTAAAGCGTGTGTGCTGTTCCTTGATTTGTAAGAAAACAATGGCCTTAAATATGGTTATACTCAACAATTTTCCTCAGACCTACCAAACAGTCCCAGGTCTGCTGTTTCCCCAGTAAGTGGGAGGCACAGCAGAGCTTTCAATACTTTGCCTTAAGACCACAAGATCCAGATCTCCTTACAGCCTGGGTCTCCTTGCTTTTTCCTAACTTAGTCAATAAACAGCACTAAGAAAAGGTCACAGTCAGTATCAAACAGGACACCAGTGAAGAAGAACAACCAGAGATTACAGGGAGACTGAGTAGAAGGATCTGTTAGAGAGCAGGGACCTCGGGAGGCAGAGTTGCTGAGACAAACACCAGAGATCACTCTGCCAGTCTAAGAAACACATGCTCTCAGCTTTACAGCTGATTTTCAACTTCAAAGCAAAATAATTCAGCTTCAGTTCCAAAACAGTATAATACAAACAAGGAAATGCGAAGGAGATTATTTCAGATCAGGTATTATATTTTGCCTCAGTAATAAGCTTCCTAAGATTAATCAAATAAAAGAAAATAAAAAGAGGTGATTTCAAACTTCAGATTTATATTTTTCAATTAGGCTCTTTCTCAAAAGGAAAAGCAATATTTTTCTAACTAAACACTGGTGGAATACAATGACAATTTATAATTAAAATTATATCTGTCATTATAGAAAATGTGGGGGGTTTTTTTAATAATTGAAAATACTTAAGTATGAAACTGTTTGCTTGTTCTAAGGCTGGGCCCCTTCCTTGGGTGAAAAATGAGAAATTGTTACTAAATTAATTGCAAAACAGCATTTAAAGCTTTTTCCATTTTTCTTATCACCAAATGATACTCTAAGTTGTTTGCTTCCTTCTCTAAGTTGATTCATTCCCTGTGATCTCTTTATTATCTCTGTAATTCTTCTCAACTCCTACACCCATTGTGACTGCAAGCCACATTCTTATAATTTATTTTCATTGATTAAGGATTTTTTTCTGACGAAAACTCCTTTTTACTTCTTTAATAGGTCAGATTACATAATGGGTGAGCACAGAACAAAGTATCGCAAAGCAATTCCAAATTGCATCAGAGAAGAAGTTATAGCACGAGACCTAACACATTAGGCCTGAGAAATTATCTCAGAATGAATCCAACTGTGGATCAGTGCAACAGAGATATGTATTATTCCTGCACTGATCCATTAATTATGGAAGTGGGCAATTTGTGTTGTGCATCAGAAAGCAGGGCTTTATTATAACAAAGAGAAAATGAAGCCTGACTGATATCTGAGCTACGACCTACCTGAATTAAGACAGGGCTTAGTAACTGAAACCTTTCATGGAGTTAAACTATGTTAGACTGGGAAGGTGGGCCCTGGATCACCAAGGGTCCATCTCAGACAGCTGGGAGCCCTCAGGGCAGCGAGAAGATGTGACTCCTGAGCGATGCAACACGTGGCTCGCTCCCAAGCTTTGAGGACAGGCCATGAAGGAAATGAGATTCATCCCACCTGACTGTCAAACCATCCTGCAGAAGGATGGAAGAGTGCTGAGCTGAGCCCTTGGACACCAGCTCAGCTGAACCTGACTGCAGGGCTGAACTGCTGTATTGGCTCACAAGAGGAGTTCTCAACACTTGCACATCTAACTTACTGCCTGAAGAGGCTGAAAACAAGCAGTACAATTACATGAGAATATACATGTAAGACACCTGGAAATGTAAGACTTTCTGCTGAGTCACTGTACTAACTCAACTACAAAAATCTGTAAAAAAACAAAAGCAACCCACAGACATACACAGAGAGCACCCACATGGCCTCTTAAATTAGGGCAAATTTAACTTACTAGTCAGAAAGTATTTACTCATTTTGCAAATACTAATTGAAAAAGTACTGTCCAATTTAAAAACTGTATCACATATAGCAGGTAGGTATTTTCTTTTATTAACTTTATGACTTCACATTAAACTAAGGTGTTAACCATGATTATTGACATCATGATTATTGACATTGGCAATGACCCATCTCACAACATATTGCACTCTGTGCTCAAATTTAAGAATATATTTTTAAATGAGGAAGAGACTGAGGAGTATTCACTTGGTAGGTGAGACATTCTGACTGAAATCTTAATGTTGGACATCCTAAACTTGCTCCCATAACTGCCATGTCCAATACTTTGACTAACTCTAAATGAGAGCCCGGGCAACAGTAGGATAACTTTGGTGGGACATCATTCTTGCCTGAAGGTAACTCAGGCAATCTTCAGAAAACACAGTGCCTTCCTCCAGTAGTGGCAATACTGTTTTGCTTATTAAATTAATATTATTTTGCTTATGAAACACATAAAACAACAGAACACACTTTTTCTGAGATAATAACTGCCAGAATTGATGGAATGGTGAAAGTACCTGTCTCAAATATCCCTGAAAACTCAGCTTGAAGGTTGACTGATGAGATTTAGCAAACTTGTCTAAGCAATGGAGCAGGAGAGGAGGAGGCTCTGCTGTCAGCTCCTGCACAAGGAGATAGTCCCTGTGGGAGCAGATGAGCTCCTGAACGGGATTTTAGTATGGACAGAGAGGGAAATCACCTTCCCTTGCTGCCTGTGCCAACCCTTCCTGACCCCTTCTCAGGAAGATCTGGCTGCTCTACAGAGAGGGGGCAGCAAATCTACTTGAAGTTTTTAGGACAGCATGTTACCCTGCCCTGGGATCTGTTAAGTTTTCTGATTTTGCAGATTTCCCAGTTTTAAACAGCTGAAAATCTTTTACCAATGTTATTAGGGTTTTTAAACATCACGTGCAGTAAGTATACAAAGCCCTTCTGGGTCAGCATTTGCAGAGCTACAGGAGAATTTGTTTCTTCCTTCTTTCCCTCAAAAATATACTTAAAACCCCAATCATCTCTTGAAGTAAAGATTAGGTTTCTGGAAACTGCTACTATGAATTCCTCTCTTTTCCTTAGTTTACTGGTTGGTTTTAGTAAATACCGGCCACTGACAGGGAAATCTTAAAGCATTATTTAAGCAAACATGCTCCAAAACCATGGTCCTGAGAGAAGCATCCCAGATCTCTATTGTGGCAAAGATGGCAACTGGAAAAACTGCCATAAAAAAAAAAAATAAAGAAATAAATACAGCACTAAGCCTTCAGGTCCAGAGACAACTTTCAGCAGACGATTTGAAGAAAAAGGAGTTAACTTGATCCAACCTCCTTAATAACCAGATGTTTGCAATCATCAAAAATATATCATTTAGCCGAAACAATTTCTCTGTTCCAAAGCATTCCCGTTTCTGAGAGCATTTACATAACAATATGTGACATCTGAAATGCTTAAGGCCACCAACCATGGCAGTACAAATTACAGTCATTTTTCAACACCCTGTGCAAGGTGCAGCCCGGGACCGGTGTCGGCGGTGAGGCACGACCCCCATGCACCAACAGCCTCAAAAAAAAAAAAAAAAAAGGCGTGTGTAGCCTTCTGAAATCCATGCTGAAAGGTATGGAAAACTGAGCTCCATGCTAAAGGTGTGGAAAAGTGAGCTGCTTACCCGCCGTAGGCTGGAATAGGAGGAGGGGGAGCTGCTGCACGAAACGTGTTGTACACCGTGCGACCTCGGCCTCGTAGGTGGGCACCTCTGTAAGCAGCAGCTGCAGTCGCAGCAGGGTAGGGAAATCCTGGCACTGCAGGAGGAAAAAAACCCAGGAATTAACATGCAACATTCAGGTCCAGCATTCTGAAACAAGCAGCGTGTTTATGCTTATTACCGGTAACTGGAGGAGGGAGTCACCAAATAAGGAAATTATTAGTCTTTTAACCTGTCTTTTTATGGAAAATCTCTAAGTGTAAACAGGAAAAACTAGGAATTTAGATGCAGTTATCATAGGTGGCTCTCAGTTTCTTAGAGCACACTATTAAAAAGAATGTTGGCTGGTTCAGCCAGGAGACTCCTGAGGTCCAAGTTCAGGCTCCAGTTTAGAAGGTCAGAGACATTTGCATCATAGTATTGGATCTGTCTTCAAAAGTCAGCCCTGTTTTGACTGAGGGTGAGACATTAGACATTTAGGTGACCTCAAGTCATCTGCATTATCCAGTGATTTTGGCAACTGAACAGAGCTTTGCTTTTGTTCAAGAGCTGATTATTAACTGGGTCTCAACCATGGAAAGAAAGAGTTGTCTATTTTCTGGGGTTTTTTGGGTTGTACCATACTCATAACAGTACCTTTCATTCCTTCAAAGGCAAGAGTTGCATAGTTTAGAAACATGTGTCTGAATCCAGATAATATTCAGACCAAATAGAAGCAATTTAAGCAAATAAAGAAATTAACCCAGACATTTCTACATTGTCATTGCAACTACATGTAAATATTAATTACCATTCCATGTGAGAAACTGAACAGTAACACAGTATTACTTAGAGGGGTTTTTTCTGTAAAAATGTCTGTAAAACTGCTCTTTTAATGAACTTCTTATATGAAAAAAAACAAAACAAAACAAAACACAACAAACAACAAACCAACCAACCAAACTTTACACTTTTCTTTCTCTGCTGTTTTTTTTAACCAGACTTCATTACTTCATTTCTCCTGTATACATATATTGCTTGTCAATGTTAGAACAGGTATTTCTTGAATGAAATAATCAGTGAGACTGAAAAAATCAAATCCAGCTCTGTGGCACTCAGGTTGCATCAGTTGTGCTTCGCTTTGTTGATTTTTTTTCCCAGTTTATAGATAAAGAAATAAATATTTCTTATCAAAGCCCTAACAAGGAGCAAGCAAATAGAAATAATAGTGTATAAAACACTGCGTTTTTCAAATCTGAAAAACTAAATTATTTCAATCCTCATTGGTCTGTTTAGGCATTAAATTTTCGAAGAAGCTTTGAATTTGAAAATGAAAAATTAACAACCTGTAGGCCTTGCTGGTGGAACATGTGAAGGCAAACATTGTAATTATGGTGACCTTCCACTATTGCCTTACTGCTGTGGGGCTTCGCAACACCCTTCTTACTGACAAAAAGGTTATACAGTAATTCTGCAGATTTACTTGCCTGTGATACAGCATAAACCAACCTTACAGCTGTACAAATAAATTAGAACTGTCTTAAAAAGTGCAAAACCATATTTTTATTCCTTTCTGTGATAAGAACGTGTGTCAAAATCAGCAAGATGAACTTGCAGAACTCAAAATACTGTTGATACTTTGCGAGCAACAGCATTTAAAAAGTGTTAAATAAATACTAAAAGAAATCATTCTTTTCAGAAAAAAACAAATATATATCACATAGATTTAGATGCTGTAAGTACTTTTGCATATTCAATAACATTGAATATTGAACAGTATAAATACAGTAGGGCTAGAATTCTGACCTACTGCTGAAACCATATAACTTTTGTCCCTTTCCTTTCCAAGTATACAGTCCTGGGTAAAAATTAATAAAATATGCAGAGGAAAATGTAAAAGGTTGTTTCCACTGGGCTGACAACATAATTACAGCAGAAAGATCTACAAGTCTGTGCTGTGGTTCCTTTGATAGAGAGGACTCTCTGCCTATATAAGCAAATAAATAAAAGGTGCAAATAAAATTTATAGACGAAAATTAGCAATACATGAGAAAAACATGAAGGCTGGACCACATGGTGCCTTGTTCACTTCTATCCCTTAGAGAACGTGTTTGTGAGTGAGAATTCCTGACTTAGGTTACAACAAGTGATGTACACAACACACTTAAATGGTCATGTTAAATGTAAGAGGCACTGAGGATACACCTCTGTGAAAGCATGAGCTCCTAATGTGGTCTGTGAGCACTTTTTTCCTTTGATTTCTACCATTCAATCCAGTTCATGGTGGTCACACCTTGGAAAGGACTGTAAGAAAGGCCACTAACCTCAAAACTTTGACAGTGAATTCTTTCTAGAAAGAAATGTCACTGGAAAAGCAGAGTGTCCCATCAATGAATGAGTTAAAAAGATTATTAAAAACATATATATATATATATTACATTTTTATGAGATAGAGGGCTTTCTCTTATGAAAGAGGAGAAAAAGCAAGAAACCAGAGATAGCAGGAAAAGTCACTCAGCCCCCGAGTGTTTGCTAAACCCAAACCCTGCAATGGTGGCTCAGCATTCCTGGGAGATGCTAAGACAGGACAGTGATTTCCACCATTTTCAGAGGATCTGCAGCCCAGAGAGGTGTTAGAATGAAAGGCCTGAAATAATGTAATTGTTTTTGATAGGCTGGCATTGCGTTGTTTCTTTCCAGTAAAGTCATGGAACATAAAATGTCTAAAGTAAAGCAAAGCACTAAAAAAGCTCACAGAAGCAATTAGTAGAAGGCAGAGCAGGGATTTGCAGTTTTGTCAGGAAGAGGATCAGATGGGATGGAAACTAAACCTGAGAAACACAGGACTAAGGGTGGCATTGCAAGGTCTTAAGATCAAGTGAGGTCTAACAGTTGAGTTTATGCATACCAGAATTATATCCATCCCAAAAACTGATTTAGGTCTATCTGAAAATCAGAGTATCTGAAAACACGTCTTTTATTTCCACGCAGTAATATTAAAGATTAAGATCACAGGTAAAATAAGCAACAAGTTTTGTCACCCTAGATTTCAGTTCAGAGCAAAAGAGTTATTCTACTTCAGCCCAGCTGAGAATTCAGGTGGTTGGGAATATATAGTAACCACAGAATTTATTTTGCTACCAGCTTTTTAATATCCTCACCCCAAAATAACCAGCAGAAGTGGCACCATTAGAACACAACTGAAGAATGGACTTCATAAAAGTAGTTTTATGAAAAGGGCTGTCCCATCAGGAAGCATTAAATGCTATTAACCAGTCCCAAAAGTAATGAATATACTAGCCAGGAGGGGGAAGGATTTTAATGACTTACAGTTTGTAGGTCAACCTTCCTTAGTGCCTGAGTGCCAAAGTGCTGAAACTCAGTCAGTGAAAATGCTATTATAATGGGGTTGAGAATGTGTTTGACTCTCAGCAGGGAAGCCTCTGAGCCCACTTCTAAGCAAAAGTGGCTTAATTTCATCAAAGTAATTTCATGACTGGAATCCTTCTGATCTGTGATAGACAAAAGGTAGATTTCTCCAAATACACATTGATGATATGAGGTTATAACATGAGGTCAAAACAAAAAAAGACTTTTCTGAGGACAGTATGTAATCAATTATCAAGCCATAGAGACAACTTATAATTTCATCTAATAGCCCCTCAGTTCTATAGTTATTCATTCAGCTATTCAAATATGACTGAGACTACAAGAGCAACCACAAAAATTCAGTTCCTACAGTTGAACTGCACTTTTACTTTTTCAAATTAAAAAACTAGGAGTATAAGCAATATGTTCTGGAAGTGCTTGGCTTTGCCTAATATAATTATCCAAAAGCATACAAATCATCTTCTATTACAGCCTAAATGATTTTCTTAAGGAACATTGTCGGTGAGATTTCCTCTTCGAACTTAAACTGTTCTATTTTTATACTTGAAAGGATAAATTTTAAAATGTATTAATACAATGAATATTGAGTTCTCTCTTCCTACACTTTGTCAACTTAGAAACATTGTCAGGACAACTCCTTCACTAAACTTCAGTTTAGATCTCAAACATAAAATCAGGTCAGCAAATCACAACATTTAAGAAAATTAAAAAGCCTTTGGAATAAAAAGGATTCTTAGTATATCAGTAAAATTTAGGTAACTAAGAATTTTACAGAAAAAGCATATACGAGCATGAGGAAGACAAACTTAAATCTTCGTGTTCACAGATGAAATCTAATCAAATCTTAATTTTTCCCAGAAGATGTAATAGAAGCATTTGTTTTACTAATTTTGTATTAAATGAACACGACAGGGAGGTGCACTTTCTAGGCACCACATCTCACCACAGGCCTGGGGAAACAAAGACTTGAAGGAACAATGACAGAGCTTGAGCTCCCAAAAAGAGGGATATAACCTGGCAAAAAATACTTAAAGCTTAGACACTGTGTATTAAAGTTTTAAAGCTCTGGGATGGATGAAAGAGCAGCAGATGCAAAAAACAACAGGGGGCAGATTTTGTATCAAAGCCATAAAAATATACAGCCATTTTAATGGGCAATTATTCTTCCCATTTGTGCTGTGGTTGGAATTTGTATGAGAGTGCCATATGCCCCCAGAAAGGTGTGCCATCAAAATGGATGAACAAATCTACCTCTCATCACTCCTCATCCCTCCTACTTTGCACAAACTAGCAGGTCATCTACCATCAAGAGTTTGCAAATGCTTTATGGTGAAGAATTTTAATGTTACATCATGTTTGCATCAGTTTATAGCTAATTTACTGCAGCACAGTTTAAGTGCTAGAAAGGCAGGGAGACACATTTACATTATTCCCATAGTTCAGGAGGACCCCTGTTGAGGAAAAACAATAAATTAAAAACAAAGAGATATAATGGGAAACATGCTGGGAAAGGCTAAGCAGAATAATCCATATGATATTAGCTGAGATTTCAGGAAGAGAATCAGCAGTTTAGCCAAACGTGTGCTGTGTTTTCCCTTCACTGTAATAGTAATAAGTATTATTAAGTGGCATTCTTTAAAAGAATTATAAACACTGTGTTAAAGAGGATGTATGCATTTAAATGCACAGACCAAAGTGCACTGCAAACAAAATGTAAGGTCTGTTACA